GACATGCGTTTTTCTGGATTTTGTTGTTGTTATTCTGTCACTGTTCAAATAAACCTACCATTAAAATTATAGACTGATAATTTCTTTGTCAGTGGGCAAATGTACAAAATCAGCAGGGGATCAAATACTTTTTTTCCCTCACTGTACACACCCCACACACATCACACATACACACCCCACACCATACACGCCCCACACACACCTCACACACACTGTCCATATACGCTACACAAACACAAACCATACATACGGCACTCATGAGGCCCCTGTCAAAGGTGTGGCTATATTCGAGGCACCACCTACAGTGAGGGAAAAAAAGTATTTGATCCCCTGCTGATTTTGTACGTTTGCCCACTGACAAATAAATTATCAGTCTATAATTTTAATGGTAGGTTTATTTGAACAGTGAGAGACAGAATAACAACAAAATCCAGAAAAACGCATGTCAAACATGTTATTAATTGATTTGCATTTTAATGAGGGAAATAAGTATTTGACCCCCTCTCAATCAGAAAGATTTCTGGCTCCCAGGTGTCTTTTATACAGATAACGAGCTGAGATTAGGAGCACACTCTTAAAGGGAGTGCTCCTAATCTCAGCTTGTTACCTGTATAAAAGACACCTGTCCACAGAAGCAATCAATCAGATTCCAAACTCTCCACCATGGCCAAGACCAAAGAGCTCTCCAAGGATGTCAGGGACAAGATTGTAGACCTACACAAGGCTGGAATGGGCTACAAGACCATTGCCAAGCAGCTTGGTGAGAAGGTGACAATAGTTGGTGCGATTATTCGCAAATGGAAGAAACACAAAAGAACTGTCAATCTCCCTCAGCCTGGGGCTCCATGCAAGATCTCACTTCGTGGAGTTGCAATGATCATGAGAACGGCGAGGAATCAGCCCAGAACTACAAGGCAGCTGGACCATAGTCACCAAGAAAACAATTGGTAACACACTACGCCGTGAAGGACTGAAATACTGCAGCGCCCGGAAGGTCCCCTGCTCAAGAAAGCACATATACATGCCAGTCTGAAGTTTGCCAATGAACATCTGAATAATTCAGAGGACAACTGGGTGAAATTGTCGTGGTCAGATGAGACCAAAATGGAGCTCTTTGGCATCAACTCAACTCGCCATGTTTGGAGGAGGAGGAATGCTGCCTATGACCCCAAGAACACCATCCCCACCGTCAAACATGGAGGTGGAAACATGCTTTGGGATGTTTTTCTGCGAAGGGGACAGGACAACTTCACCGCATCAAAGGGACGATGGACGGGGCCATGTACTATCAAATCTTGGGTGAGAACCTCATTCCCTCAGCCAGGGCATTGAAAATGGGTCGTGGATGGGTATTCCAGCATGACAATGACCCAAAACACACGGCCAAGGCAACAAAGGAGTGGCTCAGGAAGAAGCACACTAAGGTCCTGGAGTGACCTAGCCAGTCTCCAGACCTTAATCCCATAGAAAATCTGTGGAGGGAGCTGAAGGTTCGAGTTGCCAAACGTCAGCCTCGAAACCTTAATGACTTGGAGAAGATCTGCAAAGAGGAGTGAGACAAAATCCCTCCTGAGATGTGTACAAACCTGGTGGCCAACTACAAGAAACGTCTGACCTCTGTGATTGCCAACAAGGGTTTTGCCACCAAGTACTAAGTCATGTTTTGCAGAGGGGTCAAATACTTATTTCCCTCATTAAAATGCCAATCAAATTATAACATTTTTGACATGCGTTTTGCTGGATGTTTTTGTTGTTATTCTGTCTCTCACTGTTCAAATAATCCTACCATTAAAATTATAGACTGATCATTTCTTTGTCAGTGGGCAAACGTACAAAATCAGCAGGGGATCAAATACTTTTTTTCCCTCACTGTACGTTCGTTTTGCGTCGGTGGGTTCATTGACATTAACATCTGGCTTGGATTCAATTACTATGGGTTCATGTGTCATGAGTTTATGTGGTTTGGGTTCATTTACTATGGGTTAGTTGATCATGTATGAGTTCACGTGTGACGGGTTCATGTGGCATTGGTTAGTTGACCATGGGTCCATGTGTCAGTTTAATTTACTATGGGTATGTCACGTTTTAATCTACCACGTTCATAAGCCATTGGTTAATTTACATTAAGTTAGTGTGACATGTGTTAGTGTGTCATGGGTCAATTTACCATGGGTTAATGTATCATGTTTTTGTCATGGAATAATTTGTGATGGGCTCATTATTGGTTCATGTGTTAATGGGTTAATCTTTCATGGGTTTTTTTTATTTACCATGGTTTCATTTGTGATTGATTATTGTGTTTTAGCTTCATGTGTGATCAGTTGATATACCGTGTTTTGATTTACCCCAAGTTTATTTGCCATGGTTAATCTGTCATGGGTTCGGTTCATGTGTCGTTGGCTCATGTGTTACTGGGTAATTCGCAGTGAGTCATCTGTCAGGGTCTAAAATATCGCGGTTTATTTTCCATTAGTTGATTTGTTTTGGGTTCACGTGTCTTGATGCTAGTTCGTGGCACTGTGATTAGAGTGCTGAACTTGAAATTGTAAAGCATGAGTTCAAATTCCAGTCAAGGTCAACTCATACCATTCATCATTCATTCTACTCTGGCTGGCAATGAGTTCCATGTATTGTTTTCGATGCACAACACACTTTTTTTACTTACAGAATATATGTGACATCTTCTCAAGATAATGTAAAGTGGAGATACAGTTTCTTGTGCATAGGATGCAGTTGGGAGCATATGGCACGGCAGACTGGCTCCTGTAGGGGCTGACTCCTGCCATCGGAACATAGAATTTCCACCACTGGCTCATGGCTTTCAACAGAGATGAGCACTGCCCATTGTGTGTTGTGTTCTTTGTATGCCAAGATTGTTGAGGGCCATACATGATGGTTTGTGAGTTCAAAGTCCAGTTATAATCCACATCATACATTTTTTTATGTTTTAATTACATGTTACTTCAAAGGAATGCGTGACCAGATAATGCAAATATAATTAGTATTAAAATATCCAAGTTAGAAGATATTGACGGTCTAGCCACTTATGAATTGATCATGAATTTGTAAGTAAAACCTCATACAGTTGAACTTTAAAAAATGTTAGTCAATCATAATCACAATCTTTATTTATACTGGAGGAATCTATCTAATGAGCGATAAAGCTCTTTTTCACGCATGTCCAGTAGCGGCGGGTCAGAAAGTTCCAACAAGAGTTCACTTGCCTCCCATAAAGTGTACACAATCACGTACAATTTAAATATGCTGTATATTAAAAGCCCAGATAGCTGGACTAATAGAGAGGAGACCTGGTCCAAATAGCTTAAATTTCCAGATACCTATGAATGAAACAAAAATGAAAACCTGCAATTCTTAATTTACATTTAAACACATGGCAGGACGATAAACTTCAGCAATTAAAAAAACAGACTACAAACCGAAAAGTAATGCACTCTTACAGTGAGGGAAAAAAGTATTTGATCCCCTGCTGATTTTGTACGTTTGCCCACTGACAAAGAAATGATCAGTCTATAATTTTAATGGTAGGTTTATTTGAACAGTGAGAGACAGAATAACAAAAAAAAAATCCAAAAAACGCATGTCAAAAATGTTATAAATTGATTTGCATTTTAATGAGGGAAATATGTATTTGACCCCTCTGCAAAACTTAACTTAGTACTTGGTGGAAAAACCCTTGTTGGAAATCACAGAGGTCAGACGTTTCTTGTAGTTGGCCACCAGGTTTGCACACATCTCAGGAGGGATTTTGTCCCACTCCTCTTTGCAGATCTTCTCCAAGTCATTACGGTTTGGAGGCTGACGTTTGGCAACTCGAACCTTCAGCTCCCTCCACAGATTTTCTATGGGATTAAGGTCTGGAGACTGGCTAGGCCACTTCAGGACCTTAATGTGCTTCTTCTTGAGCCACTCATTTGTTTCCTTAGCCGTGTGTTTTGGGTCATTGTCATGCTGGAATACCCATCCACGACCCATTTTCAATGCCCTGGCTGAGGGAAGGAGGTTCTCACCCAAGATTTGACGGTACTTGGCCCCGTCCATCGTCCCTTTGATGCGGTGAAGTTGTCCTGTCCCCTTAGCAGAAAAACACCCCCAAAGCATAATGTTTCCACCTCCATGTTTGACGGTGGGGATGGTGTTCTTGGGGTCATAGGCAGCATTCCTCCTCCTCCAAACACGGCGAGTTGAGTTGATGCCAAAGAGCTTCATTTTTGGTCTTATCTGACCACAACACTTTCACCCAGTTGTCCTCTGAATAATTCAGATGTTCATTGGCAAACTTCAGACGGGCATGTATATGTGCTTTCTTGAGTAGGGGGACCTTGCGGGCACTGCAGGATTTCAGTCCTTTACGGCGTAGTGTGTTACCAATTGTTTTCTTGGTGACTATGGTCCCAGCTGTCTTGAGATCATTGACAAGATCCTCCCGTGTAGTTCTGGGTTGATTCCTCACCGTTCTCATGATCATTGCAACTCCACGAGGTGAGATCTTGCATGGAGCCCCAGGCCGAGGCAGATTGACAGTTCTTGTGTGTTTCTTCCATTTGCGAATAATCGCACCAACTGTTGTCACCTTCTCACCAAGCTCCTTGGCAATGGTCTTGTAGCCCATTCCAGCCTTGTGTAGGTCTACAATCTTGTCCCTGATATCCTTGGAGAGCTCTTTGGTCTTGGCCATGGTGGAGAGTTTGGAATCTGATTGATTGTTTCTGTTAGACAGGTGTCTTTTAAACAGGTAACATGCTGAGATTAGGAGCACTCCCTTTAAGAGTGTGCTCCTAATCTCAGCTCGTTACCTGTATAAAAGACACCTGGGAGCCAGAATTCTTTCTGATTGAGAGGGGGTCAAATACTTATTTCCCTCATTAAAATGCAAATCAATTTTATAACATTTTTGACATGCGTTTTTCCGGATTTTTTTGTTATTCTGTCTCTCACTGTTCAAATAAACCTACCATTAAAATTATAGACTGATCATTTCTTTGTCAGTGGGCAAACGTACAAAATCAGCAGGTTGTATGTACTATCTGTCGTGTACGACTGTGCTGTAGTTAAGTACTCACCACTGAGGCGATGCAGTTGTGGTAATCTGGCACAAAACTGAGTGGACAATGTGCGCTTAACTACTCTACACGGACATTGCACATGGACCATATATATTTTCTATTAGTCAGCCCCAGTCGAGATACGTGTGAATTCCAAGTCCCCAAGTTTCAGATAGCTGGTAGTTTGCTGTATTGGATTTTAGAGAATGCAGAGGAGACAACTTTTTTGCTTTAGCTTGAACTCTGAGCATATACATTTTCATAAAAAAATCACAATCTGACCTGGTAAAGACCAGAAATTCAAGGGCAACTCAACTAGTTTTTTTAAAGATTGATTTGCATGAAGAGAAATGCAGTATTACAGTACATTGCGTGACAGTGCATGTTGGTTTTTGATGAATAGGGTTGGAATGTGCACTACGTCACCATGATTTTGTGGCACTTGCCTGTAATTCAGCACTTCCACAGGCAAGGCTGGTGGATTACGCAGGTTTGCGAACCTTCCAAATTTGCTGGGCTGCAAGGTGGCCAGGAGATGGCAGCAAGTTCTCCTTCAACACGCAAACTGTATTAGTCAAATACTCCAATGCAGTAAAGATGTCAAAATGTTGACACTCATTGGCTAAATAACATTAATATTACCCAAGAGGCGTGATTCAGTGATATATCTCTGTAATAACGCATTTTTTTTACATACTGGTCAGTTCTATGCACTGAGATCTCGCTGTCACATTGCTGTTTCTTGCATTTTTCTGTATCGTCTTATTTTTTTTACATCCGAAAACATGTTGACAGTGTCACTTATTTTTCCATTACAAACACCTCCCTAACATATTCCTGCATTTATTGTGAATAAAATTATATTCATACCATACCTTTCCTGTACGGTTTTTTTTTTCCGCTGCTTTATTGCATTCGCGGGTTTTCCAAACCACAACGTTTGTTCCATCGTGACGGATGTTGTTGCGCACGAGTTGAGCATCGGTGAAACACAGCAATGCGCCGTGTCCCCACTCGTAGCTACGCATTTTCCAGTGTTGCGTCTCCACCTTTTCCACTGCAGATATCCCCCTGCACTTGTGTCTTTCTCCTCTTGAATCGACTTGGCCCCTGCGGTCCGTAACGATGCTTCCTCGGCGATGACGTGGTCACTATGATGCACCGGCAATGAGCGCTGCCACGCGTGAAGATAGTTCGAGACCGGCACAGAATGCGAGATGTATGGAGTGAGAGAAGCAAAGAGTGATGGTATGGAGATAAGGAGTGAGAGAAGCAGACACTGTATTGGAGATGTACGGAGTGAGAGAAGCAGAAAGAGAAATTGTATGGAGATGTATGGAGCAAGAGACGCAGATACTGCACAAAATATATATTAGGCAGATAGAAGATAATAGAGAAGCTTTGCCGAGAGTGACAAACTCTATGAAAGCTAGTGAGAGACAAAGGAAATCAAAGTATGTGTCACAGACAATATGACATTTTATTTTTGTCGGACGAAATAACTTTCCCTTCGGTCCAAGATGTTGTATTTCCATTGCCCCTAAGAACATAAAATCATGATTTTTACTGCATACAGATTTATTTACAATCGTCAAACTACGAAAGATTGTTTTACGTAACAATGTAATGAAGTCCACAAATTAGTTTCTCAGTGAAACGATGTCAAAGTGTCTGTTCCAACTTATCTTGAACTTCGCCTTTTACATTCGAAAATGTATATGGCTGTTCACTGTCATGTTAACGTTGCCTGGCCCTGTGTACTGTTTATCATAGTCACATAGTACTTCTCTCATGGAGAGAAATAAAATCAAAAGCTACATTGTTTTTTTAGGTGGTAGTCGTGCCAGCAGTCATTCTTGCATGCCTGCAGGCAATGCAGTCACTGTTCACAAAAGCAAGCCAGTATGTACAGTGAGGGAAAAAAAAGTATTTGATCCCGTGCTGATTTTGTACGTTTGCCCACTGACAAAGAAATGATCAGTCTATAATTTTAATGGTAGGTTTATTTTAACAGTGAGAGACAGAATAACAACAACAAAATCCAGAAAAAACGCACTACTTAGGGAATCCCTAAGGAGTGCAGGGATGGTGTGGATTGCTTGAGGGCTGTCCCCTTGAGAGGATGAAATGGACTGCCCATTGCGATCCCGTCGAACCCGGGCTTTGCCAAACCCCTGCTGATATTCCTGCCCCTTGACATTGGCACCGAATTTTTATGAGTCAGGCTGGCCACTTCAGTTGCTATCCTGGTGCTGCACCGTGCCACCAGGTGAAGTCCCTGTGTGTCTTCTCTTGCACCACCTGCACCTTGCATGAGCAGCTTAAGCTGCTTAAGTCTCTGCAAGCGTTGCAGAGTGCAGGTGATTGAAACTAGTCGCAATAAGAATGTTATATGATCTGTGTGTGCATATATGAGACACCTTTTGCTCTACAAGTGGAAATAAGAGCTAGAGTTCAACTTCCTGTCCACTACGATTTACAAAAAAGGGAACACTGGCAACCAAAATATGATGTAAGTGCCCTATAAATTATATAATGAGCTTGTGTCCTTAAAGTTATCTATCGCATGGTCATATAATTCAACGGGTATTATTTTGTCAACCATATAATTTGACAGTTTCATAAAAAAAACGTTACTCTTAACATTACAACTCATGGTTAATAGGATGAAGCTAAACAGATATACATTCAAAAACAGCAGCATGCCAGAAATATGGATGTCACAGTGACTTGTGGGTAATTGTAAACTGTTATAAGGCATAGAAGTGGGAACGGAATTTTAATTTGAAATTGAATGAGTCTTCGCATAATTTTTTTATAATGAAGAAAATAATTGTGCAGAGATTAAAATCCATCTTGAGTTGAGACAGGTTACTCCTTATGAAAAAATGTAAGATGGCAAAACTGTAAAACACTTTTTAAACATGTTAGCATTAAACACACTGACAGAATTGAGCCCCTCGCTGACACACATTGTTTGATTTTAATCTCTGCAGATGTCACTAAATATATTAAGCTGCATTCATCTTGGGAAGGTCGAATCTAAGTTCCTTGCTCTGTCTGAATAGGTAATGGCAATTTCCGGGCAATAAATGAGCCTGACAGATTGTATAAAGCGCAAAACAGGTGTTGTTTTTGCTGCTAGCAGAGGAATCTTAATTGGATTCTGTGTGAGCCAGACACTGATTGTAATAAGCTATTTAGCGGCCTCAGAATTTGTATGAATGGTGCATTCTCTTGCGAATTAAAATATGCTCTTGACCTGTAACAACATTCATCTGGTGCTGGGCCCATCGCTCAGTGGAAATAGGAATGGAATTACCCGTTTAATGTAACCCTCAGTCATTGGTTTTAGATTGCACGCAGTCTCCTGCACGACACTGAGATGGCGTCTTGGGTGCACTGTGCTGGCGCAGTGGAGGATTGGGGGCAGCGGTGTATTTGTGTGTGCTTGTGCGTGCGCAAGTGCATGTGTGTATATCACCCAGTGTTTCAACGGAAAACGGGAGGCGGCGTCGACTGGATAACCAGTGCCGCCCGAATCGCTGTGAGCACGCTCGTGACGTCGCGTTACATTGGTGAGCCGCGTTGACGTTCTGTGCTCGTTTTGTCACCTGTCAGCGTGCGGTGTATGATGCGCCATTCCCCCGGAGCTGGCTCACGGGCTCGTAAGGCGCTTCCACGGCCAGCAGCACGTCGATGCCGTTCGTGATACGAATGTGGGCAACAGCTTATCCTCGATTTACTGATGTTGGCAGGGAATGTACGAGAGCTGTCACGCAAAATGAATTGCACAGGCATACGTGAGGCTGGTCTAAAGCATCCAAAAAGGTTAGAGTATTATAATAATGTGCACCCACGCTTCCTCGTTTTTTTTTAATAGTCATCCTTAAAATGTTTATACTAATTCTCTTCCTAACACGTAGGCTTTCGCGACCAATATTTATATATATAAAAGTGAAATTTGTGAATGTCTGTCGGTACGAAATGTTTCGCATACTTCCAGAAATGCAGCATACTTGAAATTTGGCATGTGGGTAGCTTCCAGACTGTACACAATGCAAAAAGTATAAAAATATAATTTTCTATTTTTTTTTTGGGGGGGGGGGCGCAATAATGGATATATTTTGCACGGCAAGTGAGCGGTGACGTCACATCTATGATGTCACCCGCATGCGGCAGCGTCAAGGAATGTGCCAGCTGACGTCAGGCCCCCCCCCCACCCTCTGCGTAGGCCGTGTATTAATCCAAGACAAGAATCCAAGTCTCGGGCGAAGCCGGGTAGTAAAGCTAGTTCATAATAAAGGTTTTTGGGTTAGATCGCGTTATTTATAAATGTGTCGCAACCCTCCACCACCCGACACGGCCAATCAGTAAAAAAAATGCGATCTAACCCAAAAACCTTAAATTTGAATAATTATCTTCCTGTGCAGTCAAGTCGTTGTTGAAGTATATTTCTGCTCAAATGAGCAATGCCATGAAGTTCGCTCATTTCCATTCTGCAGTGGGATAGGTTTTCAGGCGAGACATGGGAAAGTGGTGTCAATGTTGTCCGTTAATGTGTCCTGTGTTCGCAATACTCAAACCAGAGGCACCTTTAAGGCTCTTCAGGTAAACCAGCGTATCCAGACCGACAGCATAACCACCCTGGTTTTTGTTTTGTAGGGTTGCACCGAATGAGCGCTGACCAATACCATACAGTTAAGAGGGGTCTGTCTCACCAGGGAATGTTACGCCTGTACTGTCCATTTGTCATGAGGGTGGCACCTTCACTTTATTCCCCAGCAAGTGTTTGCTCGCTTCACGCTGTTAGCACGCACTCATGCTGATGCGCTCAATCGAGATTTACGGTTATTTCATTTATTCATCACGAGCCTATGACCTCGGCTGAGGATTATTGCTTCGTAGTACATGGCAAGACCAAGCAAGTTTCCACCTCTCATGTTGATTGTGAATCTATTGTCTGAATGAATCCCCCCCCCCACACCAACCCCCCCCCCTCCAACTCCATCTTCCTACCACAATACATCCAGAAAATGCAATATCCTAGAATAGCCATTGCTTCGCAGCTAACAAAATGGAATGCACGTTTGAAAATTGTGCCTAAATGTGTTTCAAATGAGGCCATTAGAATTGAACAAGAGGGGCCTTATCATAGCTGGATGGTCGTGAGTAAAAAAAGAAAACTGGCCTCGGGTCAACCCGGCCAATCATCCCTTTATCTACAGTAAAATGGTTAATACCTTGACGGAGTATCAACAGTCATCGTCTACAGATATACTGGCCCTTTCAATAGGAACGTGCAATCGCCATGATTGGCTCAAGGCAGCCAGTGTCGATGAGCAACATTCAATGCCCTTAAGAGTCTAGAGATAACTATTAGTTTTTTTTATGTTAACAAAAAATAAATATCTCGCGACACTTTTCCTTCTTCTTAATAATGTATTGAGCACCAGAGAGCGTTGCGCACAGTCATCCACATGGCCTTCCACGGGGCTGGAGGCAACTTCAGAGCAGAGCTCGTTTGACGTGGATGCGCACTGCTGAGGCTGAATTCAAAACACCACGGTCTTGGATTGTGCTCAGCGTGGCAGCCTGCTCAGGGATAGGGTCACCTGGAGGCGTCCCACGGGGACCGCTATGATCCAGCCAGGCGCAAGTTACTGCTGATTGATGATGACGCAAGTTGTATATACTGTATTTATTTTATCTTAGGCCACCTTTTACGTAACATCTCTATCAAACTCTGTTCGCGGTGTTATACGTTTGTAGTTTAAATGTTGGTAACATCTGAAACATTTTAGATTTGGCACTATGGTTAAAATATCCAATATATTCAGACAAGGTCATAAAGAAGACTTCTCTGGTGTAGGCCAATCAGTTTCAAAGACAAATAATATATTATCGGAGCATGTTTGTTTGCATGTTTTTTTCCACAAGTACGTGTGGTTGATGCAGACTTGATTCCTTCTAAACGGTATCTTTGGTGGTTGAACATCTTAACACCCGTTTTATTGCCAGAAAGGTTAAAACCCCATTGTTATTTTTCATCATATTCAACCTCCAGCGCCACCTCGAGCGTGTGTCTTGCAGTGCATGCTTCCACGCTGCAATGGTCGTGTGCGTTTTGTAGCCCCCTATCTCTGCTGAATACCGTATGGACGGATGTTGAACTTCTTTCGCACCGTACGGAGCCAACCGTGCTAATCGGATGTGCGGGGAAGGACAATAAACTAAACACAAAAAGCAGTTCTAAAGAAATGAGTTTTCAATCTAGATGATTTAAAAGTGCACAGCTCCAGTGGCTTCCAGTGTTTGTCTCTTCTGCTTTCTTTCATGCAGGATTTTCTTGCATAAACACACCTACATTCTGAGTACATTACAGCGCAACACTACATAAATACAATGTTCCAATTTTGTTTATTATTCTTCTTTGGTTCTTTCGGTAAAGTCACGTAGAATAAGAATAAAATAATAAATTGATAAAATAAAATAACACAATAAAATTCTCATTCTACGTGACTTTACCGAAAGAACCAAAGAAGATGAATCCTTGCAGTCACGAAAGCTTTAAATCGAAAAATTGTTTATTATTATTATTTCATAATGTTTAAACAATTTAACTGTTTTTAAGTTTAAACATTTGTATCTCGCACCCCTGCTCAAAACTGTATCAATGAAGACTCGCTGCAGGAAACCCATGAAATAGAACCATAGAACCTCGCAGCTCATTGGGCCCTTCCTGCTGAAAGATTAAATCATCTAAAATATATATATTTTGTTCAGGATTTGTTTTAACTGCTGACAAAAAAATATGACAATTCAACTTAGCAGCATCGTCTAAAACATCAGCCAGCTCTGTTTTTTCATCATAAGTCATTGTTACGATAATAACGATGTTTTTTTCTTTTTTACATATAACTTGTCCTTGTACACCAACTGACAATGCCTTCCTTTATTATCCATAACTAATTGACGGTGTTTGTAAAACGTATTCATCGCAAAAATAAAACATTTGTACTTTAAATTTTACAATTGTTTAGCCTGGAAAGCCTCATTAACTGTCGACTTTTTCATTAAAGTCCTGCCAAGTTATCATCAGTATAGGGGCAGTGTTGCTATGTATAGTCCCAAATGAGTAATTATTAGGTTTCTTTTGCACTGGGATGTTTTTGCCAATACAGTTACATTGTGTGGGGTTGTTGTTGTTTAAGCTGTGGAAGGAAATTGAACTCCTCGGTGAACCCATGCAGAACAGGTGGAGAGCATACTCCACAAAATACGGGGGCCCGAAGCACAGGACTCATTTTCTACTGTAAATCACAAGTGCCATCACTGCGCTACCCTGCTGCCCAAAAACGTAACTCCGAGGTTCACCAAGTGCAGACGTGTGAACACTTGAATACAGACCACCCATTTCGAGATGGATTCTCCGCTATTAATGCTAGTCCCCCACGGTCCATGCTCTCATTCTCAGAATCATATTCCTTCGGCAAGAACCAATCTACAAATCCTGTGTGATGGAGCCACTTCGTACATTATTATTGGGGTTCCGCCTCAATTTCTTGCCGAGATGCAGTTGGGTTTACGGGAGCTTTATATAAAGCGTGAGGCTGTGTGACCTTGGGCAGTGTGCTGGTATGAACATTTTTTTATATATACGGCAGATGCACGGAGGTTTTGGGAATGTTTAACTTGGGTTCTGTTTTCCACCAGCCACACCTGACACAACTGTGACCTTGCGATATGAAGATCCTGTCCCATGATGGGTATGGAAAGGCCATGCAATGCAGAAAAATGAGTTGCACAAATTGGTGTGCTTATGAGGCTGATGTCATGGGGTCATTTGGTATGCCGTACATCCATTTCCCAGCACACAGCACACTTTAGGAATGTCACGTAGAAATGCAGTGGCTCAGTAGCAAGTGCTAACCACCAAACTATCCAAGTACATTTATTCCATTTTAAACTCTTTTTTCATTGTCACATTATGCAATGGGCCTAAGTTGCATGCACTTTGAAAGCGTGTCTCCCATTTACCATTCTTAAATTACAGTAACTCTGAAAACAATAGTCTTCATGACAAGAATATTGTTTTGCTCATTTTAAACTTATTAGTTCACAGCAGGCCTTGTAGCACCATTTTTCATTTGCATTTGCCGCCTTCATACCCTTTGTGACATTAGCTGTTTGCAACTTCTGGATTTGAAGCTTTCGTGACTGCAAGGATTCATACTCTTTGGTTTTTTCGGAGGAGCTCCCCCCCCCCTTAACCTGTATATATTCTCGGGTGTCTCAAAGCTCTTCACTTGATACAGCTATTTTGCTGTGACTGTTCCACCTGAAGACGGAAGCTTGTGTTGCCTCCGAAACGTCGTGATTTAATTTAGTTTTCATTTATTTTATTTTACCTACGTGACTTTACCGAAAAAACCAAAGAGTATGTTTGCAACTTGCTTTTGCACATATTATTACGATTAAGAATAAGTAATGTCATTATCTTAATATATTCACATGATAAAGAAAGCAAAGCATACATTACCATCAATAGTATAAAGTTTACAGCTCAAAATTGTCC